CACATACAGGGGGAGGGGCAGAGAGAGAAAGAGAATCCCAAGCAGCCTCCCCTCTGAGTGTGGAGCCTGACACCGGGCTCCATCTCACAACCCTGAGATCATGACCCAAGCTGAAATCAAGAGTCAGACGCCCAACTGATTGAGCCACCCAGGTGCCCCATGATCATGATTTTTAAATCTCTTTTATTCTTTAATCAGGCCCTTTTTTTTTTTTTTTAAGATTTTATTTATTTATTTGACAGAGAGAGAGAACAAGTAGGCAGAGAGGCAGGCAGAGGCAGAGGGAGGAGCAGGCTCCCCGCTGAGCAGGGACCCCGATGTGGGGCTCAATCCCAGGACCCTGGCAACATGACCTGAGCCGAGGGCAGCGGCTTAACCGACTGAGCCACCCAGGTGCCCCAGGCCCTTGTTTTTTTATGCCATTGATTTGGTAGAGAAACTAGGTCATTTTTTTTTTTAATTGAACGTTTGACATTCTGGATTTGACTGATTGCTTTCTTGAGGTGGTTTGGTTTTCAAACTCCATTCTTGGTCCCCTGTATTTCCTATTAGTTCTAGAGGCTGGATTAGATTCAGATTCTATCTTAGGCAAGAAGACCTGATAATGGTTCTGGGTATTTCTGATTTTGTTATATCATGTTGCACATAAGGTCTGGTTGTTGGAATTTTAGGTTTTAGGTTTTTTATTCCTTTCTTATAGCAGTTGCTCTGTCTCTTTGGGGAGATTCAAAACCATTCTACATTATTATCTTTGCCCAACCGAATAAAAAAAAAAAAAGCCAAAATTTACAGAGACAAAATGACTAGGCAGAAAAACCGATTCTGAGTCTCTTGGACAATCTGTATTTGAAGAAACCTTCTCCTGCTTCACACACAAAGGGATTGACTGTATAGGGGAAAAACGTGCAAGATACAAACACTTAGGGATTACTAAATGTAAGATTACAAAAGGCACATCACTAATTAGTACATTTAGAAACTGCAGTATTAAAAGTCAGGATGAAAATAGCTGAAATTTAATGAGTCATTTGCTAATTATTTAGCTTATGGATTTCCAATGCCATTTGCTTCTAGCCCTTTTCCTCTTCCTTAGGCAATTTTTGGTGGTATTTTACTGCTTTTTAACACCTCCAGAAACCACTGTATGCTGGTAACTGACCATAAATTGTACACTTGGAGAGATACATAAGAGATTATGACTCAGGATCCATGCTGTGTTGCTGACTGAGATAAACCATGAGCGGTTTGCACCACAGTTGAAGATTTTCAGAGCCAAAAGTAGTTAGAATTCTGTGGACGACCTAACGTGCTACCTATTGCTTGATAAAGAAACAGAGACATAAATCATGAAGATCAATGTGTCTCCTGAAGAAAGAGACCGTGTTTCACCACGCTCCTCAGGTGCTAGATGTGCTCTGCTATGGGTCCAGCCCAGGGGCTCGCAGCCATGACTGGACCCGGGGAGCTTTTAAACACTGATGTGCAGACTCACCCTTAGAGTTGAGCCTGGTTCTCTAAAGTCCCAGGTACTGGGATTTTGACAAAGTTCTTCAGGTGATTCTCATATACGGTCGTCTTCAATCCGGCCAGCAAATAAGAGGTGCCATTTAGGGGCGCCTGGGTGGCTCAGTCGTTAAACGTCTGCCTTCAGCTCAGGTCATGATCCCAGGGTCCTGGGATCGAGTCCCATGGTGGGCTCGCTGCTCGGCAGGAAGCCTGCTTCTCCCTCTCCCACTCCCCCTGCTTGTGTTCCTGCTCTCGCTATCTCTCTCTCTGTCAAATAAATAAATCAAATCTTAAAAAAAAAAAAGAGGTGCCATTTATAGGTCTCACTCTGTGCAAAGGACTGTGCTGAACATCTCTTGCACGTAGGGAAACGGATCCTTGGAGGGATGTTATTCGATTGATGTCTTGCTACAAAGCAGAGTTTCACATCCAGTCTATCTGGCTTCTGAACTAGGGGCTTTTAACTTTCTTTGAACATAATCCAAAGTAAGATAAAAAAATTTACATCATAACTAAGAACACATAACATAATGAAACACAAGTGTAACAAACAATACTTAATCTTATTAGGTATGAGGTACACGGATATTCTGTTTTATTTAACTAAAAAAATACTTCTCAAACCCACTAAAATGATCTCACTTGCACTTAGAAACACTCTTCTAAACCATGACAGTGCAGATTTCCTTTCTGTTCCAAACACATGGTAGGATCTTTCCTCCATCAATGCCTTCTCATTTTGTTTTTCTCATGTGGCGAGCCCATTTTTTTTTTTTTTCCCTATGCATTTTTTAAAGACCATCAAGGTGGTTCCTGGCTAAAAAGTGTTTCCCAGACTACTCCAGTTTATGGTGTCTCTTATTTCAAGGCCTATAAGTAACACACAGCTCATCACACATTTTTAAATACTAAATTATATGGTATATTGTGATTCTCTATAATTGTCTTATAATATCTTAGAAGGTTAATGTCTCCTTGACTTAATTTAACTTCTTTGAGGATAGTGGCCACGTTGTATGCTTCTGTTTCCGTACTTTTTGCAATGCTGAGCACAGAGCTGGGCACATCACAGATGCCAAACAGCTGCACAACCCTAGACAAGTGTATCTCTGAGCTTTCATTTCTTCCATGAAATAAAGGGGGCTGCTTTAGCTTCATTCGAAAGTCTCCGCCAGGTTAAGTCTATTTTTCTATGATACATACACACTTCTATAAAATAGAGAAACGAAGGAAGAAAATATGAAACATTTTTGTGAGCAACTACAAGAAAAGTTCTTGTGCGGGAAGAAAAAACCCTGAAACTGGCATTTTTGGTAGGCAAAATATAAACTCCTGTGTTGTCTGAAAAGATTAAAGAAGAACTCATAGGAGCTGAAAATGAAGTTGGGCCCTGTGTCACTTAGATACTGAAATGTGATTATCTATAGGCCTCATTTCTTTCTCCAGTTGAATGAACACACTGTATAGGTAACAAGACATTTCCACGGGCTCTTATCAGGTTGAATGGATTATATAACACAAAGCGTAATAAGGAATGTGGAGTTGGGGGCATGTAGAAGCAGAGGTATCCTGATTTAGGAAAAAAAATGACTGAATACAATTACAGTTTAGATACTGTTTGTTTGCAAGTGGTTGTGAAATATCACTGAGCACCTTCCCAGGGCTTCTGAGGCCAAAGGATGTGGCTAACTGTAACCCTAAGACCACTGCCATTCTCCAGGTCCTGAGGCTACTGGTGGAGAAGGCAGAGAGGTAGTCAGTCCCTTTGGTTCTGTGTGTGTGTGTGTGGTGGGGAACGGGGGTGGGGGGTGGGGGGTTGGGAGTGGGTCATCTACGGTCTTTACCTACTCAACATTCATTTTCTCTTTATTAGAACAACTAATTTTCCTTTTGGGAACCTCCTCTCTTCCAGTCAGTTCATGTGGTTCAGGTGTACAGGGTGGGGGGCACTAAAGCCATCTCCCTTGATCTTTTTCAGACATAGTCAAGTGACCCCAACCCTGCAGTGCATATTTAAATCCATGGTTACAATGCTCAGTTCAGAGATGGGAGTAGGGTCCAAGTTAGTCCAATAAGACTCATTCTTTGGCCTGCTCTCTTGCTAATGGGATCAGTTGCTAAGGAGGCTGGAGGAGAAAGTAAGTCTGGGGCTGTCAATCTAGGCCCTGACTAGAGAAAATAAAACCTGTACAATGAAAGCACAGAACAATATGGAGAGAAACGGAGTCCTAACATTCTTTGATCATCTGGAGGAAAAAAAAAGATTCAAAAAAATAGTAATTCTTCTTCTTCTTTTTTTTTTTTTGGCAGATCTACTCTTGGGATTTTAAGCATATGAGCCAATACATTCCAACCTCCTCCACTGTAGGTTTTCTTGAGTCACTTTGAGTTGGGTACCAATTACCTCCATTATTCTGACTATACAGGAATGTATCATAATAGGAAGATATCCTTCCTCTTGTTCACTGCCAGCCTCCTCTCTCATCTTCATGTTTGCTCCAGGAAGGACCACATCTCCTGCTTTTATAGAGCCCGAGGCTTATTTCTTCTCCACATTGTAAGAGAAATTGCTCCAACCTTTTGCACATTCTCCCTGCCCTCTTCCTCCACAAATCAGCATGTGCTTGCTATACAGCGGCAGATGGTAGGACTGAGGTCCAGTCTCAGGCAACTATGCCAGTGCTTTTGTGTGAATTAGAATCTACCACTCCCTCTGGGCCCACCCCCCCGGGAGGCAGTTCTTTGTAAGCCCCAGCTGGATCTTAACCCGTTTCCACAAGCCCTCCGCTGCCCACACCCACTGTGAATGTGGTCCGTTCCTAACGTGTTGATGGCTGCTGATGCAGTGTGTCTCTGCGGCATCGCCACACTGCGCATACCTCACTGGTCTCAGCAGCGATCACAAATGATGATAGCTAGGAAAACAGTATCACTTGTTACTTGAAAGCAGCCCTTGCCGGCATCATTTAGATCTTAAGATGGTAACTTTTCTGGAGGGTCTTCCTGAGTTCATTTGGGGATCTTTGCAGCCAATCTCTGTTGATGAAAGTCAAAGTCAACAGTTAAGAAATCCAGTTGGAGGCCATCTGGCAATTAGCCACCGGAGAACCGAGCACAGGGTAAAGCAGACATCTGGCAAATCTCCCATGCCCTACACCACTGACACTTTCAGGAATCAGTCCAGGGGCCTCCAAGTGGCCTTTAGTTATTTCAGGCTCCAGCGCTCCTGGGGAGACCCTCATCACTGTGTGGGAGATAGAGGAAGAATATGCGGGACCCACACGAGGAAACGCAATTCCACTGGGCAGTCGCCAGCGGCGCGCAAGGGCTTTGGGGGCGCGGGCGACGGCGGCGCTGCGGTGGGGGCAGGAAGACAGGACCCAAAAAGGATGGGGGCGGTCTGGAGACTGCGCGAAGTTCCAGGGGCAATCCTGGCGCAAGCCAACGGCGAGAGCGGCGCCCCGGGGCCGGGTCCCAGCGCTTGTCCTACCTTTGCCCGGGCGGAGGGGTAACCAGCCCCGGCGGAGAGGCGGAGGAGCAGCCGGAAACGGGCGAGCGCGGCAGCCCGGGGACAGCCTGGACGGCGGCTTCGGGAATCGCCTCGTCTCAGCCGGCCCCCCCTCTTTATTTGCCTCCGCCCCTTCTCCCCTCCTCCCTCTCTCCTCGCGTCCTAAAACGCGGCGGCGCCTTTAAGAGGGAGCTTTGGTTACCCCGGGGGCGGGAACCCCTCGGCAGATTGGGAGGCGGCGGCGCTCGCCCGCGATGCTCCTCACTTTCGGCTCCAGCTCCCGCCGCCGCCGCCGCCTGGGTCGCCACCACCGCCTCCTCCGCTTCCTCCTCTTCCTCGAAGCGTCGTTTTTCTGCGGCAGAGAGAAGTGCTATGTCAGGAAAGTTCCGGGAGGGACTGGATGGGGCCATGCTCCCTGGGTTCTTCTGCAGGCGCCCGCGCGCAGCCCTTTGTATGAGGTGAGACTTGGGGTCCTTGGCCCCCCGGACAGGTAGCCGCCGCGGGGAGCGCTTCGGTCCGCCGCGTTGGGGAGGCTGTGCTGTTGGGCGGAGTGTGTGGCGGAGAAGGAGCTGGTTAGACCGAAGTTGTGCAGGAGAAGCCCGGGTTTGCAGGAAGGTTTTGCGGCTGGACTTGAGTGATTTCGGCAGCCCGCGCCGCACGGCGGGGGCCCGGTCGGGACTCGGTTTCCCGGGGTGCCGCCCGCCTCGCTTCCCGACGCCTCCTGTCGCCATCCCCTGCCCGTTGGAGCAGTTAGGCCTTCTAGGAAACTGGGCGGCTGCAGGCTGGCACCCGGCGCCGGCTTTTTCTCTGCGGGGCTTTCTCCTCCAGAAGCTAAGCGCCGGGAGTGAGAGAAAGGGGATGGGGTCCTCTTGAACTTTTACACTGTGCTCTCGCCCCTATTTAGGGGTGAAATTCACCTCGTTTGCCCAGGTCGGGAGGCTCTCTGCGAGCTCCAACAGTTTGAGAGCTTGCCTCTTACATGTGGGTGAGCTTGCGGCGCTGTGTGTCTGCCTTTCAGCCCTGGTCGGTTTTCAGCGTCGCCCTGATTTTAAGTCCTCTCTTCCCCGCCCCTTTTGGGAAACATTCTCTCTCTCTCTCTCTCTTTAATATCCCTGAGGTTCAGGGTGCTAAACACACACACACACACACACACACAGACCCACTCCCCAAATAGGTTTATGATATGTCCCCTGGGGCTGACCCAAAATTTCAAAGTGATCCTCTAGTCTCTGATTAGATATTTAGACTTGGGCAGGACACTTAGGGAATACAGGTATCCCCGTAGTAGGTATGCAGGTTTTTCGGTGAGGCAAGGTGAGGTTTTAACTATACCGTTTTAAGATAGGATTTTCTCTTTGTTTGTTTATTGGTGAATATGCTTTTCATCATGTCTTAGATTAAAAGGCTCCAACTAATTTTAAGGGTAGTGTTTCTAAGAATCATAAAAAAACAAAACAAAACAAAAGAACAACCTGAGGTTTCTTGCATAATCTGACATTACTTCAGACAGTTTTACCCTTGGATGAGGTATGTAATATGTATAATTATTTGATGGAACCTAATATGTGAGTACATTTATCCCACAAATGGGTAAGTTTTCTTTTTTCATGTGTCCTTGGGTGAAGGAAGCCCATTTTCTCACACCCCCAGGTCTCTGCCACACCTGTCTAATCCTGTTTCTGTTCTCTCCACTCACAGTGCATACATCTGGCGTCAGCTGCAAATCAAAGGTGCTGATGAAAAGTCCCTGTATTTTGTGAAGTGTTGCATAGCCAGAGTTTTAGTGACCTAATTGATTACATCATCCAGATTATTTTAAACAGTTAGAATGTGGGAGCTTGTTTGAAGAAAAGAATATAAGTATTTAAATTCTCAGTTATAGGCTTTATGTATAGTCTCTGTGTGAAAAAATATTCTCAAAATAGGGGGTATTGTAGGAAACATTTGTAGTGGGGAAGTTTTGAAAGGAAACCATTCCAGAATAACCATTAATATTATAACATTTTGTTTGGGATATAGATTTTCATCTCTGAGCAAAATTTTGTCGCTCTGCTGTCAAATATACCAGAACTGAAACTTAAAAAAAAAAACAAAAAAACCTCACTGTCCAAGCGTTTTCTGAAAATTTGCAGCACACTGACCGTTCTTAGAAAAAAATTTGCTTAGAAAAAGTTACATACTTAAAATCCTCACTGCAGTTATCGTTTTACCTTAAGTTTGCTGGAGTCCAGGCAAGAAAGTACTACATTCAATGAGAATTTGATGTTCTAAGGTGGGTAAGACTTAGTTCCTAGAATATACAATTTTCTAGGAAATTTAGCAATTTTGAGATTTTGTATACGGTTTATTTGATTTGAAATGATTGTTTTATGAATGTGCTTTTTTTTTTTTTTTTAAAGTAATCTTTACGCCAGATATGGGGCTTGAACTCACCACCCTGAGATCAAGAGTTGCATGCTCTACCTACTCAGCCAGCCAGGTGCTCCTGAATTACTCTTTTTTTTTTTAAGATTTCATTTATTTATTTGACAGAGAGAGACACAGCTAGAGAGGGAACACAAGCAGGGGGAGTGGGAGAGGGAGAAGCAGGCTTCCCGCGGAGCAGGGAGCCCGATGTGGGACTCGATCCCAGGACCCTGGGATCATGACCTGAGCCAAAGGCAGATGCTTAACGACTGAGCCATCCAGGTGCCCCCTGAATTATTCTTTTTAAAACTAAATATATATATTACACACACACACATATGCACACACATCATATTTACAAAATCCATATCTATCTGTCTATATCTATACTTACATATTTATATATCTGTATATCTGTAACAGGGAAAACAATATAGGGACTTGATAATATACATGCTCTAGAAACACAGGTCTAAGAGATCAGAAGCTAAAAATAGTTCCCGTTGGGCGCCTGGGTGGCTCAGTCATTAAGCGTCTGCCTTCGGCTCAGGTCATGATCCCAGGGTCCTGGGATCGAGTCCCACATCGGGCTCCCTGCTCGGCGGGAAGCCTGCTTCTCCCTCTCCCACTCCCCCTGCTTGTGTTCCTGCTCTCGCTGTCTCTCTCTCTGTCAAATAAATAAATAAAATCTTTAAAAAAAAAAAATAGTTCCCGTTAAGGCTTGCTATCTCCTCAGCATTTTCATCAATTTCATCAACATCAGTTAAGTTAAAAAATACTGTGTTTTCCCATGTGTTCTTGTTCTTGCACAAGGCTTGTACCAGGGGGCCATATGCCAACGATCTTAACCACATGTTTATTAAAATGGACTGAAGTATCCCATCAGTGGATGATTGAACCACGCATTTCTCATGCTTCAGTAATTTATCTTCAGTAGAGGAATCCCTAGGAAAAAATTAGCTTGTCAATATGATGTTTTCTTTTTTTAACGCTTCAGAAATGACCTTCAGGGCATTCTCCAAAGGTCTGAGACTTAGTAGATCTTGAAGGCATGGGAGGCAAACCTTGGGAAGTTGTGGTACTCCAATTTGTGAATGATGTCCTGAATAAGTATTTGGTTTGAAAGAGGTATCCATTAATGCTTGGGAAAATAAGAGCTATGATACAGTGCTCTAATCACTACAAGCAAAGCTTTGGAGTATTTCTTATCACATTCCACAGTTGAAACTGCTACATTCTAACATATGTGTATGAAAATTAGAAATGAAGTGAAATAATCTTTTAGACTGATTTTTGCTTTATTTGGTAGGCATTTTTTTATGTATGTTTATATTTGCCACAAATATGCTTTACTTTGTTGCAGGTGGCACTTTTATTCCTTTTTTGCAACTATGAGGTGTATTTTAGGGTGAGTTCTTCGTGTTTACTTGAAACAGTAATGTGTTTCATTGAGTTTATGTTGTGTCTCTTTGGCTTTCAAAAAATAACATTTGAGATATTTGATTATGAGCCTCAGATCACAGCCTTTCAGAACTGATGGGATCTTGGTCAATTATAGTTTCAGTTTCCTGGGAATTTTTTGTTTGAAGGTCAGATATGGCCCTAATTTTAACTGGATGATCCACGAAATAGGTACTTTCGTAACCACAAAACATGGAGAACATTCCAAATAATTTGCAGTTTGGGCAGCCCAACATGCTTTAGTGTTTAGTTGGCATGAGGCAGTGTGCCATGCTTGTAAAAAATGGTTTTTGAAGCTGACAGTGAGCTATTTCAGTCTTTGAGTTTGACACATAGGTTAAAGTGCCTTTTAGCCTCTATGCTGGCAAATTCGGACAGGATTGGTAAAAGTAATTTGTTCTCATTTCTGTCTGTATGACAGAAGATTTAGAAAATTCAGGCATGAAACTCTAGCTTAATATACTGGAAAGCACATTCATGTTTATTAAAAATGTAAGGAAGAGTTGGGAAGGTTGGATTTTAACATAGCTTTCAGACCTTGGGCAAAAGAGTGTGTTTTTGCAGTTAGGAGGGTAATCTAGTGGTCACCTATTGAAATTAATAATAACACTATTATTGTCAGCATTTCCTTTGAGTGATAATTCTAAAGAAATTATATTCTCTTAGGCCCAGTTTAGATTGAAAAACATCCCCAGCCAGTTACTGTACACATAACCAATCACCTGGCATGTATGTTCCTCAATTCTTAGATAATTTTCAGTTGAAACCCTTACGTGTCATTTTAACCGTAAGTTTTACATACCATTTGGGGTTTTTGACCAAAGCTGCTTCATTAGTTTCTTTTCTCTCAATTGACTAAGTCCTGTCTATATCATTACCGCATTTAAAAAATAATTTAGGCAAAATGTTTTATATGGGAACTCTAATGTTGTGCCTTGAGGAGGTGGTGCAGAAGGGACATGATTCTTTGTTCTAGCTGTTACCTTCCAAAGGGAGGTACTGTCACCTCTTCCTATTTTTTTTTTTTTTAAATTTTAGAGAAAGAACATTTGCAGGCATTTAAAGATGCTTGAAGTTTGGATCACAACAAGAGTTTCAACAGAAAGTTCCCTAAGAATCAGTTAACATTTATTTATGTCAGGTATTCAGTACGGTCTCTGGCTGAGGGTGTCTGCTGCAGGTTTTTTGATCTAAGTTGGTCCTGGGAGGATACGGATTCAAAGGGAGGTGGAGTGGAAAGGGGACTAATCCAGGCATAGCATCCATTGCCTTCCAGAGGGCATTTTGGACACAACTCTAAATGTGTACTTGTAATAAAAACCCATTCTTTTCATCATTTTAGCTTATTTTTGCCATTACCTCCAGGCCGGATGTGAAGTAGGCCGTCTTCCTGCCCCATTTTGATAAACTTTGCCCAAACCTTCTGAAGTTTTACACTGTCCAACAGTAGCAGGAAGTCTGTTCTTTAATTCTTTCAGCTAGTTGCCATTCAGTACTTCTTCAGACATTTTTCCCTTTTTTGAATTATTGAGCTCTTTCATGAGAGGAGTTTGGGCTTTGAAGCTCCCCCATTTTCCATAATAGGCTTTGG